GCTTTGACTACTTGGACTTCAGTGTGATTTGCAATTGGGATTTCTGTGCTTCGTCCGCATTCATGTTCCTTGCACTTGTTGTCCTTAACTGCCCCCAATTGTCCCCAACCCCCTGGACGTCACAGGATTGACGTGGTAATTTTTATTATTAATAATATATCATGGTTGTCAACCGGACTTCCGGATCGGGATCCAGCCGGTCCGGTCTGGATACCCTTGTGACTAGCAGGTCTGGGAAAAGACACATCTTCGTTATAGTAGACCATTTGAGTGTGCGTGTGTGTGTGTGTGTGAGAGAGAGAGAGAGAGAGACCATAGCGCCCGTGTGTGGAAGCAGGTGCATGCATGGATAGCGCATGCCAGAGAGAGAGAGAGAGAGAGAGAGAGAGAGAGAGAGAGAGAGAGAGAGAGAGAGAGTTACAAGGCACACCTCGAATAGGAGGTACGTACCTTGTATTCGAGGGTACCTTCTATCGAAAATTTAACAGCAATTTCTTAGAACTGTAGTAGTCCGACAAGAGAAAAACCAGGCCACCATAGCCGTTACCTTCGGGAAAAGGCGGCCCGCCAAGATAATGTCCGTTTTAGCAGTCCTCTTGAAACAGAACTAATTCCAAGTAATGAGCATAATGCATACAAGGACATTCCTTGCCAACCCTAGGACAAACACTTCACTTTCCCCTTTTCTTTTTTTTTTTCTTTTTTTTTTCCCACTTTCAAACGCTCAGGGAACGCTTGAGTGCCATGCCACTAAATGCAAAATCAAGAGGTGTGCTATATGACACACGCAGAGCGATGTGAGAGGAAAAGCAGCCCTCGTACCTGACCAACATGCGAATGGATAGCACAACAATGGCCGTAACGAGTAGCAAAACCACCATCATGCTGGATTGTCACCAAATAGCCATAGCTGCGAAAGAAAACGGGAGAGTGAGAAAAAAAACTTAGCTTCCACAGCACAATAGAGTTTGGTTTCGAGAGCTGGCATATTAAACTCTGTGAACCTCGAAAAGAAACGAAAACAAAACCTTTCCAATTTCCAAATCAGGAAAAGAGAAGAAGAAATGGTGGTATATACCAACCAGTTTGAAAACTTCAATTGCAAGCCATGGCAAGTCCTAATTGCTTCTCCAAATTGTCCCAACAAGATAAGGAAAAACAAAGGCAGACTACAGCACCCCCTGGGGAGCCCATACCAAGGCTAATTCTGAATAGTTGACCTTATCCCTGCACCCAGCCCATCTGGATGAATCGCACACACATGAGAGGCAATCAGGACCGCACTCTCTGTGAGGCAGATATTCAGGCAATTCTGTGAGGCATAAGGGCCCCAATGAGTCCTAATTGCTTCTCCAAATTGTCCCAACCAGATAAGGAAAAACAAAGGCAGACTACAGCACCCCCTGGGGAGCACATACCAAGGCTAATTCTGAATAGTCGACCTTATCCCTCCACCCAGCCCATCTGGATGAATCACACACACATGAGAGGCAATCAGGACCGCACTCTCTGTGAGGCAGATATTCAGGCAATTCTGCGAGGCATAAGGGCCCCAATAAGCCCCTTTCCACCCTGTAAGCAGCACTGTCGGCCGCCCTAAGTGAAGGCAGGCCTGACCAGGGCCAAGAGGCCTATTTTCGGCTACCACGCAACTGGGGAAATTCAGGCAGTTGCGCAGCGCCAGTTGGTTGAGAGCGCCCAGGCCCTGGCTGCCTTTTTCGTACGTAACCAAGGCAGGCCCTGGGCCAGATACACAACATGGGCCGAACCCASGCTGCGGTCAGTTGGGCACAAGCAACCGTCACAGGCCCTGGGCCGGATTCGTTAGGACCGGGGCTCAGCCTCTCGGGGCCTACCGGAAGCTTCTGGACCGGGGCCCAGCACAGCCAGGCCGCACGCAGCTGGCAGGGCACTTCCATATAGGAAAGGACTTGCCCCTGCATTTCGCATTCGGGCACTGGCTGCATGCTGCGCAAGCGCTGCTGCGCTAAACGCTGGCCGGGCCCGCGCGCTCACGGGCGAGCAGGGAGAGCAGGCAGCCATAGCCGAGCTGTGCTGCGCTGAGCTGGATGGGGCGCATGGTGGTCCTTGGGTGCACGTGGCATCTTTGAGTGCGGGATCGAGGTTGTGAGTGATACGAGAGACATACCTGGTGCTTGAGGCGAACGGCAGTGGCCAAGATCTGCTCGTACTTCGGAGAGCTGTTGACGTCACCAGCGGCATTGTATATAGGCTAGATAGGATCTGCCATTTGTAGTCTGGGCGCAGAGAGCCAGATAGGATGTCGACATTGGTTCATTGTTGATGATAATGAGACTATTCCAACATTCACTTGTGAGCTTTTGCTGTGCTCTTATTTGGTGGAACTCGTGTTGCAATTCTGCTTTTGGTTCGAGGTCACGACTATCTGGTCTCATGTGTATGCTGCTGCTTGGTTTCTGAAGTTCGCTATCGCTCATTTTCCTTGCAATTTGGTATCGGAGCTGTGGTGCGGTGCGCTTATCTGGCACTTGTCTTCTGCCTATAAAGTACATGCACGCGGTCTGCTGGGTGAGCGGCCGTGGGAGGTGTGTAGTGAGGAGGGCGAAGGCAAGCATGCGACCCAGGTGGAGAGGGTTATCGCCAGAAAGGCTACGTGGTGATTATTGGGTGTTTGCAGTGTGATGAGAACTATCTGATGTGTGATTGATGCTGAGGTGGAATGGCCGTGTAATGCTGGTTGTGCCGAAGCAGCGACTGGTCATCACAATCGGCATCAGGTCATCCGGTGAGAAAATCTGTGGTTGGGGGCAGCTATTTTGAGGTACGTTGCTCTTAACCTTATCTTCCCTCTTCGACGCTTCTTACCGTGAGGATGTGTGTTCTGTCTTGAGAGTCCTCTCATGTGAGGAGTCGAATGCGCTCAACCTTGAGAGTCGGCATTGTTCACTTGGAGCATCTGGGAGGAGCGGGCAGAGCTAGCTGAAGGGCCCTGGACGAAGCACTGGGTCACGGTCACCATGCCAACCCACCGGGAGTACACGCAGGCTTTGCTGCTTTGTCCTTCGTCTGCCTGCTGCGCTGATAGATGAGTGATGAGGGGCAGGCCAGTCCTATAGGGAAGACGAGTACCGGGCGTCTATAAATAAGCACCGGCGGGGTTACCTTCCACTGGCTGTGATCGTCATCCTGTCTGCAATGTTAAATAATTCCTGAGGACTTTGGGGGCCGTCGTTAAATGCCTCTTGATCAGCCAGTTGGTCGGTGTAAGGCTCGCTGCACGCGAGGGTAAACATAGTGCATGGCTGGCCAGCTCAGCATACACTCGGGGCACAGAGGTGGGCCGTGTGCACACCTCTAGACACACACGCTATCTGGATCGCTCAGGAACGCTGACGTCAAGAGACAATCAGGAAGAACTGAGGGAGGGGCAGATTCCAGGTGATAAGTTTGGGAAGAATTCCATTCTCCCAACAGTCCCGCAAATGATTCTATTTTTATTTTAATTAGTTAGATGTGCAGCCATTGACATCTGACAGACAGCATTTAGGTAGAAATCTGCTTTCTGTTCGTGGACTAAATTAAGTAAAAATAGTTTCGTTCGTAGGAATATGGACTTACCTGTTGACCCAAATGTGTAGACTCTGACATGGCCACCGACTAATTATTTGATTTATTTTAAATCGGTCTGTGTACTACGCTGTGGTAGGCATCGAGTGTGACCTAGTGCAGTTCGTGTGCAGTGCTGTAGCTTGTGAGTGACAGGGAGAACACTAGCGAGGACGATAGGATCCTGCGATCAGCAAGGCGCCCTATAGCCCATGTGGCATTAGGACCCGAGGGTGACAGACTCCTGTTCCGCCAGCAAAGGGAGAGACAGCAGCAGCAGCGAAGGGATAGGGCCGCAGAGGCAAGCAGGGCGTTTGCAAGCGAAGCCACTACTTCAGCAGCCATGGCCACAGCTGCGCAGCAGAGTTCTCAGGCTAGTAGTTCAGGGACTGTAGGGTCGACGGTCGCACAGACCCTGAGTCAGTCCGCTGGCGTCTGGCAAGCCAGCAGTTAGTGTTGACCCCCGAGGAGGTCGCCAAACAGTGAGCAGCTGCTCGCAAGGCACAGTTACAGCAGGCTTTAGGAGAGATAAAGGCAGAAAAAGAAAGAATGATCAGGAGAAGATGGAGGATGCAGCGGAGACAAGCGGACGTTAGTGAGTTAGAGGGGATGGATCTGACAAACATGGACGATGATGTGAGGACCCTGCGGGCAGTACTGCTAGACGTAGTGGAAATGCAGGACCACCAGACGGCTCTCTTACAGGACATCCAGCAGAGACTGGCCGTGCTGGTCAGGCGAGCTCAGGCAGCACCATCACCATCAGGGTCTTGTGCCTGGCCTGTGGTACAGCCTCCTCCTTTTGTTCCACCGGTGACTGGGATATCCCCATTTGTAGTCCCTCCAGCATCGGTGCATGCCGCTTCCCAAGGAATGCCTTTGACAGGCGGGGTTTCAACAGGCACTAGTGTACAGGTTCCGGTACAGATAGTGTATTCCCAACCTCCGTTACAGACTGCCATAACTGTGCAGCCTGCTGTCTCTTAGCCAGCACAGCCGCAGGGCACACAAACCCAACAGCAGCTAGTGCAGCAGCCTACGCCCCAGGGTCCACTGCCTGGTGTGGCGCAGGTACCGGGAAAAGGCCAGCGGGTTCAGAAGACAGCCATCGCCTCCCCTAAACCCTTCTCAGGGGATAAGAGGGGCAAAGACCTTGACACATGGTTGAGGTCAGTGCCAGTCTACGTCAAGTGTAAGTTAACCTTGCCGCACAAGGAAGTGCTTGTGGCTGCCTCCTACCTGGAGGGGAGTGCAGCAAAATGGTCAAGTGGGCTAGTGCAACTACAGGGGCACGAACATGACTTCCGTGCTCGGGCAGTCAACCAGAAACTGGAGGACTTCCTGAAGCTGGTAGAGGAAAGGTGGCATGATCCTCAGGAGGCCCAAAAGGCCACTGATGCGATCCTGACTTTGAGCAATAGCCCGTTCAAGTCAGTAAGGGATCCCACAGACGCAGTGGAGCGTCTGATCTGTGTGCCTGGAGTACGCTATGACCCCCAGGTCTTACTGACCACTTACCCGAGGTGTCTTCCCATGCCACTCTGGAATCAGTTGGTGGGTGAGGCGAACATAAATATGCACAACTTTCCCTCGTTTAGCAAGAAGGCCCTAGACCTGGAGGCAAAGATAGGGCATGGACATCAACCCACGACGGATGGAAGGAAGAAAGCACTGCCTCCCAATTGGAGGGCGAGGGGACGCATCATGTTCGTCAATAACGAGGCTTCTACCATCGAACTAGATGACGACTTCTAGGAGGGAGTAGGTTCAGAGGCGGACAGCGTAGAGGCTTCAAGGGGTGGAGCAGTCGCTGCCTCAGTCCAAAAAGATAAGGCGACCGGTAGACGTGGCGGAGGCTCCCGATCTAGGAGTCAAGTAGACCCCAACGCTCCTCCATGGGAGAAAGTGGGTCTCACCGAGGACGTGTGGAGAGACCGTTATACGCGGCAGGCTTATATCCGTTGTGGCCAATATGACCATAATCAACTCAAGTGCCGCAATAAGATAGTGACGGAGAAGATCCCGCCTACAATGGGGCGGGCGATGGGATCCTCCGCTTCCCAGGGTAGCAATGTGGCCAGCAATTCTGGCACCGCCTCGGGAAACACATCGGGCCAATAGGAATAGTAGTTGTTCTTGCTAGGGTCGAGGTGGTGAACACACCCTCACCATCTCGAGAGATGGCCCAAGCTATTGATTCCGTTGTCATCCCGCCAACACATTCAAACCCATCGATCCTCTGTTCGATGAATGTGTTTGAATCCTTAGAGGAGCTAGAGGAGGAGTGGTCTAGATCAGACCCGCTAGCTTCTTGGACAGCTTCGGCGAGGTAGTCATCGGCGGCCGCAAGGTCGGGGCCTATTATGACACTTGCTGGACGCGAAACTTCATTAGTCGCGCGTGCATTAAGAGGCTGCATTTACAGGCGCAAGTGCAACGCTCGAGTCGACCTCTGGAGTCTACCTGTGCCAACAAACAACGCATGGTAGTCATTGACTACCTTAAAGACAGAGTGTTTATTCCCGTACGTGGGAGGGGAACAGAGACATTGAGTCTCATTCCTAGTCAGCGATGATCTCCCAATGAAAATCCTGTTGGGTATGTACTATCTTTCGGTTGCACAACCCCTTTTTTTTTTCTTTTTTTTTTTAAACAGACCCACCAGTGCTAGCGATGCTGTTTAGCGCAAACATTGCTAGCACCTGGGGAGAGGCTCCATCTATTGGTGGGGAGCATCACCTGCTGGAAAACGGGTCCATCGTCCCATACAGAAATTGATGCATAGAAAAAAACTGGATGGTGTCTAGAGGATGCCTGCCAGCATTGATTGCTCTGGGAACCAGAGGATTGACTGAGTAGGTGTGAGCATGATCCGAAACCTGGAACCAAGAGCTGATGGTCCTCGTCTCCTTCTCCAACCTCGTGCCTGGTCAAGGTACCCGGAGGGGCCACTGGGGGCACCAGTGGCTATCCCTACCGTCTCCCTGCCATCCCCCCAGGACACCTACCTTTCGACACTGATCTCCGTCGGTCCTACCCGAATGTCACACTGGCAGCGAATTTTAGAGCAGCCTGGCCAAAAGAAAACAGACTGAGGCTGCAATGATAAAATCTGACTAAAGTTTGACTACAACCCAAAACCAAAACTAAGAAATAGAAAAAACAGGCAGCAAGGCCAGACAGGAAAGGTTAGACAGAGTGAAAAAGGACTGAACTAAAGCAGGTTGGGAAGGAAAGATGGTGGTTGGGAAACGGGGGGGTCACTCCCGATCTAACAAAGCACCAGCTTTTCCTCTCACTCTCTTCTTCACTTACTCTCACTCCCTCCCTTGTCTCCCTACAAAGCACAAACGCTGCTCAGACGAAAAAGGGTGGAGTCTAGAAAATGGGTAACAATGGGCAGGGGGTTACAAGCATATTTCGAGAGATCCCGGGTGTGGAGGGAAGGGGTCTGGAAAATCCTCTGCCAGTCTCATGGGGATGCCTGAGTCTATCGACAACCACTCCTTAAATCTGAGGTGGTAGTCCCTTGGGACTTCCTTCTCTCCATGTCGGTCCTCCCTGCCATCATCCCCACCCCAGTTTCCTGTCCAGCAAACCTCCGCTACCCACCCCTCCCGATCCCCGCCCAGCCAATCCCTGGAAAACTTTACTAATCGTTCACGAATGTCTCTGGCTCTATGGGGAAATTCAGGCAGTTGCGCAGCGCCAGTTGGTTGAGAGCGCCCAGGCCCTGGCTGCCTTTTTCGTACGTAACCAAGGCAGGCCCTGGGCCA